CACCCTTAGGTAATTGGGTATTTTTGTCTTCGATAGATTTCCAGTGTGCGTTCATTCTGGTGCGCAGTTGTTGTTTGGTTTTTCCTACATATTTTCCATCAGGGCATTCAGTGCACTGGATGAGATATATTACATTTCTGGAGGTGCAGGTGTAAGATGCAGGAATGGTGATGGTTCCATTGTAGGGTGTAGTTATTGTGGGGGTGGTGGAGATGTGTTGGCAGGTTTTACATTCCTTGTCCTGGCATGGCCTAGATCCATTTGGTGTGCTTCTGGGGATGAGGTTGGTGAGGTTTGGTGCTTGTTTAAAGGCTAGGTTGGGTGATTCTGGAAAGATCTGTTTAAGAATTGGGTTTTCTTCTGGGATGCAATTGTTTGAGGATTTTCCACATAGGGTCCAAGGAAGGATGGTATGTCATAACTCTAATGGTTTTTGATTTGTACACTGGCAGGCTCTCCTTATCCCTGAAGAAGAGTGTTTGTGCCTAAAAGCTTGTAAAGAACTATTTTTCCAATTATTTAGTTGGTCTAATAAAATGTATCACATCTACCCAAAGAACCTTGTCTGCCTATGACCTTAGACCAACACAGCTACAACCAACAACCCTAAATACACATGGCTTTTGTCCTTTGTACCTCTTCATTATAAATTCTGATATGTTCTTTTTCATGTCATATCCTTCTTCGCCATCCCCTGTGACAATATTCCACTCTCAAGTACACTTATATATAAGTACATTTATATAATTGTAGCTGGGACTCTCGTCTGGGTCATCTGATTTTCATAAATGCAATTTCCCTTTTCTTTTGATTGTGTAGCATGCACTGTTTGTTTAACACAGGAGACAAGTGTGGAAAGGTTGGGTTTTTTTTAATATAAGGTCATGAGAAACCTTTAATCGAGTCTAAAAGGTTTTGAAATTAACCCAGTTTAACTCTGAGAAGATCTAATTTTTCAAATCTCTTAATATTTATATAATATTCTCATTATATTTAATCTTACAGAAATTATAAATTAATTGTCTGTACATGCCCTGAAACTGACTAAACATAAAATCAAATATTTTTTCAGACCCAGCTGGCACTTTGTCATTATGCTACATCTTACGATGAAGAGAATTTCCCAATGGCAAATGAGTTCCAACCTGAGCGCTGGCTGAGGAAAGACCATATGGACAGAGTAGACAACTTTGGTTCCATCCCATTTGGTTATGGCATTCGCAGCTGTATAGGAAAAAGAATTGCAGAACTGGAAATTCACCTTGTACTGATTCAGGTTAGAAATTTGTGACAAGATTACAAGATTATATATCAGTACATTCTTGCTGTGCAAATCACCTCTGGACATCCCTTTTTTATATCTAAAGCGTTATCCTGTCACAGGACTTTTGATAAACACATAGTGATCTGTTTTGAATTAAGCATGTTACAGAAGGTATTTTTGATATGGCACAATCCAGTATAAGATCAAGGAAATTAAATTATAAGTATAGCAGAATTTTAATGAATGAATTGCAGCCTTTAAATAAAAGACTCTCTTGGCACACAGTAGGGCAGTGAGGGCCAATCCTTTTGGCAGGCATGCAACAAATTAACCCCCAAATCTCCCAGGTGCAACTCTTACCCTCTTTCCATGCCTGATCTGCTGCTCTGCTTTCTGCTTCCTGCTCTGTCTGGCACTGTGCTGTCTGTCCCCTTCCTAGTCTACTGGTTGCTACACACAGAGGCTGCCTGGGTCACTTACGGCACTCATGCTGCAGATTGGCCACTCCTACAGTAGAGTGTTTACTTATTTGTAAGATTTTGTATAAAACATGTTTGAACTAAGAACAAGTAGGCACTTACCAGAAAGTGAAATAGGTTTGTAATCCTTAGTCTGAAGTGGACCATAATTTCAAACATTCAAGTCAAATGTTATTTTCTCCACCTTTCCTGTTCTCCCTGTCCTCATTTATTTTTGTCTTTCTTTTCTATTTTATATATTTTCTGGGTTTTTCTTATTTTTTCACGATTTAGAGAAGGCTTTCCCATCAATCCCTATGTTGTAGCTCATCTCCAAAATGCACATAAATATTCAGATCAGTTTGATCAGTAAATGCAGTAAGTAGCACAGCAAGTAATGCAGAAAATGATCTAAAGATTACAGTGCAGCACAAATGAAATACGAGGACATAATGTAATGCTGATGTAAAAAAAGGCAAATGTCATTCTGGGATGTATTAACAGGAGGGTAGTTTTAACAGGAGGTAATATTCCTCTCTTCACTCAGTAGGAGTGAGGTCTCACCCAAAATATTATGTTCAGATTTGGGATCTGCACTTGAGTGCAGAGTGGAGAAGAAACAGAGAGGATATAGAGGAGAACAGAAGGAATGGTAGGAAGTTTATAAAACATGACTTCTGAAGGAATTGGATCCTTCAGCCTAACAAAAAAGAAGTCTGAAGGAGAAATACAAAATCTTCCAGTATATGAGAGTTTGCCCTACAGTGGATTGCAACCAAGCTCAGTATGTCTACTGATGGTGTATAAGAAGAATGCAGCTGTTGTAAACCATTTGAGCAGACTGCCTAGAGAAGTTTGATAATTTTTACTCACAGGTTAAAGAAACTTTGGTAATGATGGCTTAGGTATACTTGATCCTGTCTTAGGGCAGGAGAATTGAGAACATGGCCTTTAAACATCCTTCCCATCCATATATTTCTGTGATTCCATAATTTGTATTCACAGCTGGTCTCCTCGGATGTGCTCTGTAATCTTATATACTTACTCTGTACCACTTCAAAACATTTGCTGTCTCATCTTTGTGTTCAATCTCCTGCTGGTTCAGTGGAGGTGTCATAAGAATAATTATTTAACGTTAGCAGACTCCCCTTGACTGAATGGCAGCCTGTTTATCCTATTCCGTTCTAATTAGTTTCTTCTATGTGCATCACTGATTTTTTCTGAGTGCCTTCCAGTAATGTGTTAAGCAATCTGCCTCATGTTTGTTTTTTCATCTTTTGTTCAGACAGATAATTGGATTTTGGTGTTTAGACACCTTGCCTTTAGAATAGAAGTTGGTGAGGCTTATAATCTTAGTTCCTGTGGGAGTTAATTGCACACTTCTGGGCTGACCTCTGAGGAATTTGGTAGATCAAAA